CTTCTTCACACACAAGTTTATTTAAGAAGGTTGTCAACGTAAACGCCCGGCCTTGAGGTTTGAAACTGTAAGCACGCACGCCTGTCACTAAATTTTGTTGTGACACACTGATACGGCAATCCGAGTATAAGGCTTGCACACAAAATGAGACCTTTTCAAACGCCACTAAAAAAGACCATACCCACGAAATCACCAAGGAATGTTTTTCAGAAATAGCATTTCAACGCACCAATAAGTGAATTTATTCCGCATTTTTTAATCATATATGGTTAGTCGTTAACAATCCCACACAGAGGCTTTGAAATTTGCTTTGAATCTCCAGACACAGCGGCCATGAAACTAAATTGAAAACTAATACAGCATTTACTAGCAAAAATGAACAAAACTTGATTCCGTCCAAGTTTTAAAGGACAATTTCTCCTATCGACTTTGCTTGCGGAGGTCCTATACTTCCTTTAATTTCATCTAATGTTTGTCGTTATATATACTGGGGCTTCTAGGTTACTTTCAACTTAGTTGACCTGGTCTAGAACACGTTTTACTTTAACCCGATGACTCTGTAGGTCACTTTGACCCTAATGCAGCTTCTAGGCCAGGTCAGCTGAGGTCAAAGTGGCCTAGAAGCCCCACCATAACTACTTCCGTTGTCTAGTTTACAAAAGTAAGCTTACTTATATCAGTTATACCTAAATAGGACGAAAATGGACCCGATCATTAACAAAAATAGAACCCTATGTTGTACGGTTTTTTTGCGGAATGCGTTCATATGCAAAATCGTGGACAGGGAAAAACTGAGAATCAGGGAACTTACTTTCCAACTTCAAAAACCCTCCCCTACTTTCAAAAAGAAAATCAAATGTCACAAATCGACACAAATATTTGTAAAATACAAATCTAAATACACAAAGGATGAAGAGAAATCGGCAATAAAGTAACTGGATGCAAATACTCAAGTTATTACGATGACGTGGCGACAAGCCTAAATTATGGCAGTCGAGGAAAAGATGAGTGGAGAGAAACTACAGAGTGTGAGCAGCCGTAGCGACAGCGCCGCGAAAGGCGTCTCCTCGTGAAGGTCTATTTACCCGATAGCAAAATTAGTATTTCAAACAACAACAATTTACGTAATGATAAATTATGCATTAATTCAAGTTATTAAGCAAATCAAAATGAAATAAACACAACAGGCATAACAAATTAAATACGTTCAAAACTAAATAATTTTTCGAGAATGAAAATGTTCAAATTCAAGTTGTGAGAAAATAATTTGGATATAAGAAAATAAAATAAGAAGATAATATAACAGAAAACATACATAAAATATACTTCACATTTCGAGTTCATGACAGTGGCGGCTCGTGACTGTCTGATGTGGTGAGGCGATGATAGGAGTTTGACAATAATATTATCAATAATAAAATTAATTAAATTAATGTGATTAATGCATATTACTTGGTCTTAGTAGTTAGTAATAGTAGAAGTCTCGCTTGAATACCGTTCATTTCCCAGTCAGTAGTGGGTCCTAATAATAGTAATAATAATAATAATATTAACACCCATAACACATTTAATCAACAATGTTTTTACAAGTCAAAATTTTGTTTAAACTAGCACTTTCTTGGAGGGATTCGGCAATAGTTGTGTTCCTTTCTAAATCTTTTAAGCCTATGAAATTTTTAATGTGTACTTTGGAACTTTTATGTAACTTTGCGCTTCGAATGAAATTCTTTAAATCGTTATATCCCGGAGACGTCGTCGATGTGTTTTTTACATTGCCTAAGAGTAGACACGGCCAACAATATAGACTTTCAGCATAAATATTACGACTACGGCAGAGCCGTTTATGTTTCGTATGTACCAGGCTGGTTTAAAAGACCTGGAGTACTGATGACATTGTCGCTTATCAATGGAAGTTAACGGTGTTGACTGTTCGATATTTAGCAAAATTTACCGACGTTCTAACTCGGTTCGTCGTGAAAACGGCGTTTCAAGAAGCAACATGACAATATCGTACTCGGGATTCATTTTTCACTCACCTGTACCCTGTACCTATGAAAGAGACAAAAACACGAAACACCAACTCCTGGACTTTTATTCACGTTTATGCTAATTACCCACGCACCCTGCACCCCTTCCATTCTGTAAAATAAATGGGAAAATGGTTTAATGGGTCCGCCGAAATTGGCCGAGAAGCATCGAAGATATCGCCTCAGTTCCGAGCGAATTCATGTATAGGAGTATAGCAGCTGAGTCATGGAAATCCGTGTCTGTGATTGGGCTTCATTGGCTCAAGTGAACCGACGCTCTGGCCGCTTCAGTTACAGAATTCGGGGCATAAATCGTACAGTATTCAACGGAAAATGTCCGCAGAAAGTGTAAAAAATAAAAAATAATCTACAGATTTACCACTTCAACATATTTTTGTAACTAAAAATAAATTGAAAGCTCTTTTTTAATTATAAATTAAGTCAATCTGTTCTTAAGATATATATATGCTGTGAGGCGCCGCCTCACTTGCCTCATATGACGAGCCGCCACTGGTTCATGATGGTATTAATTTAACTCCTCCTTCTTTCAAAATGGATCAACGTTTAAGATTAGTTTGCCATATATGAACTATTTTAAATCTCGAGTAAGCGAGTGAGAAGTTATGAAGATAATGTGATAAGTTAAGTAAAAACATTCAGAACTTTTAGATATCATTGTTATAAAAAAAAAATAGGAGTTTTTTTTTAGTTGCGAAAGACGATTTTTAAATTAAGCGATTTCCAGAATTATTCAAATCTTCGTAATTATGTATCTAAGACGTACCTTCGCGTCAAAGCAATCCATTTGACACGAATGTATTGATTTCCTTGCAGGTAGCTGCTGTTTTGGAAATACAGGTAACAGGTTTCAAATTTTTCAGAATAAATTAGCATGGGTGGAAGTTTTACAAATACATTTATTCTAAGCACAAACATGGAAGCTACAGTCACAGTTAAAAAAAAAGGTTTTCGGGTTGTATTGAAACAGAAATCAGTTTGGAACAAAACCAAGTTTACATTTTACAGAAAGTTTGGTTGAAACTTGAAACTCATATTTGGATCTGTTATTTATAAACTTGAAGTTTTTTTCTGTCAAGATTTATTTATTAATAAGTATGACGGGTTTGTTACTCAAATTGTTGTCTGCCAATTTCCAGTACAACACATGCCCAAATCAAAGTTTAAAGCTAATTTTATTTATTTATTTAAGTCTACAAGATGTAGCTTGTAAGATGAATGTTCTTATTTAATTAAAATTCAACAGAAAATATTGCATTATAATTAAAATATATTATAGTGTACCTACCTTCACACTGCTATAAAGCGATCCTGGAGACGTGAATAAAAAATGTTTACCATGTTTACGATAATCTTAAAAGGTTTGCAAGATTTCGGAACATTCGGTTTTGTCATTTCAAAGCTAAATTGTAAAATTTGTTATACAATTTTGAATATCTAGAGTAAAAAAAACTTAAAACGGATTCATAAAGCGTAAGTATAGGAGTATGCTATTTTGTAAAATTAGACAAATTTTGGTTCGCGTTTCACAGTGGCGGCTCGTGACCTTTGCAAATACGGGACACAATTTGATTGATAAGTTAAATTTGAAGGTATTAAACGGGCTGTTATTACTATTATAGACGAAATTGTGTCTCGGAAATAAATACAAAAATATTTTCAATATTATTAAAAAAGTATTTGTTTCAAATGTTACCCGATTCAAGCTAAGTGCAGCGATTAGAAGCGCGGTTTCCATGGCAACGGTGAGAACAAAACGTCTAAATGGGTCATGATTTGATCTCCGCTTTTATCGAGACCTTACCAACGATATATCTAAGACATAACATTTTTAGATGTAAGTTTTATACATTTGATACAGACGGAAATTGAACTAAAAACGTCGAAAAAACATGTAACAATTGGCCGGATGGCCCCTGTTACATAATTTCCACTGCTTAATCTCGAGAAGCATAAATAAACATAAAACAAAATTTTCCATTTCAGTTTTTCGTTTTCAATATTCATATAGTTAACAGCAATTTGTAACGACAGAATTAAATAACTTAAGAACATTTTATTATGCTGTTTAAATTGCTAGCTCTATAAGATCCCTCCGTTTACGATTATAATACCTATACCTCTCGCCACGTTAGTTGGAAAACCACAACTACTTCATTACAATACAAAGCCTGCATTTAAAGCGGAACATTATAAACTTTCCTTTGTAGTCTGTGCTTTGTTGCCTTTTCTTACTGAAAACTAAAAATTTAGAATTATCGCAACTTTACAACTTCTGATAAAAAAAGTCTGCTTTTAACGATGGATGAAACTTTTTATGTAGTTATTGAGGCAAAATTGCTCACACACTGCTATAACCACTCCCTACTTATTCAAAATTATTAGATATCAACGTGAGGTATGATAGATCCTAACCCTACTTTTTACTTCAATTATTTCTCCTACTTAATACCGAAAATATTTTTTTCTTTAGGCTGGCTTAACACAAAATATTTGTATTTTGTTATTCAGTTAGTAACTCGAAAATGGGAAATTTGAGAACACAATTTTGTGTGGTAAATTATGTCACGTTAATAGAAAAAAACTATTACCGTGAAGATAAATATTTTTGATTTATCCACCAATAAATCAATTGGTGTCCCAAAATGAATTGATATAGACGTTTCTATTTGAAATGTACTAATGATAACCGTTTAGTGTGGTGCTGTGGTACACAGTTGTAATCAATCTTGCAAGTTGGAAGCGTCTTAAATGGGTATAAAATCAAACCATTTTGATTTATTGTGTTTACTGCAACGTTGTTCCCAGAACTTATTTATCTTCATGAATTCCACACACTAGAAAAGCAATATTCATATAACTTGATTAAATATCCCAGCGAAGGAACTTGTTATGTTCCTTATCAGGTAATTCGTAGACTTAGCGAGTCGAAGGTACGGGAATGAAAGACGAGAATGAATTTAATGAAAATATTTATTAAGTAATTGAAAAGTTATATACAAAACACAGAACGTCCACAACGATTTTAGTACAAAAGCCAGTTATAATGTACACAGCGTTTAGGAAACAATGTACATCGCCTTATAGGCAAGTGAACGAAACATTAGTAAGGCGGTACTTAAAATTATTTAGTAGGTATTTGAATAAAAAATTGAAAAAACACAGAAATAAAAAATAACGCAGTGCCATGAAAGATCACAAAGACTAGAAAATGTTGGCAACTCACCAATGGAGGAGTGCTTTCAATTCCGTTGATAACAAGGCACCTCTTCATGTTATATACATTTTACAATAACAGCATATATTACGATTTATCGATATAAATACAAAAGCCTAATCACAGACACTATAAATTTGACTTAAAATTGTCATTTAAAACATTAAAATAAAATACTTAAGTACTGATAAAATAACAATTGGCAGTTTTTATTACATGAAGTTCCTCTAATTTTAAACAATGTTGTATGAAAGCTACTAGTTATAAAAATATAGTTTACACTGTTCCAAAAGGCAATCAGAATTTTGTTTCAGAGTGAGTAAAAATCAAACGGGCAATTTTGATATGTCAAAACGTAGAATAAAATCTCGGAAACTGTGACAAAACCTGGTAAGTTCTCAAATAAAATCAATGGATGCCAGAGTGTTGAAGCATCCACCAAATAAATAATCCAATTTGTCTAACAACAACGTAAGCATAGGTCAAAAAAGTCCTTTCTCCTTCTTCAAAGACGTCTGCTTCCACATGGGCAACTTCTGGAACTCCTCTTTAGTCATATGCAGCAATTCTTGGAAATCGTCCGCCGACAGGTAGATTTCCAGATGAGTCGGATCCACCCCTTCGGGCAGCGGTCTCTGCAGCAGTTCGGCCAGCGGATACGTGGTTCTTGAAAGGAGCGCTAACTCATTCTCGACCAGCAACTTCGCACCCTCTTTTTTTCCTTCTTTCAAGTTCAGCTCCGCCACGTCCTCTCTATCGATCCAAAATGGAAAAAGATTTTTAAATTCTAACGGCTCAAGACCTGCCCAAACCAAGAAAGCGGGCACCGATTCGTCTCCGCTGTGAGTCTTCTGCCAATAATTAACAGCAGTCTGCATCGCAGCTTTCCTTTCCGCCTGCCACCGAACTGCCCCCGACCCAGTTTGGTCGCTCAGTTCTACTTCTTCTTCTTCCCTTTCCGGCCACCAACCTTGCCACAGCCATAGTTCGTGATGGTTATCGATTAAAAATAACGCTGAAAGAACATGCGACATAATAAATATACAAATTTGACATAACAAAAGATGGATGTTGATGAAGATGTAATGATTGTAAATTATTGTGCTGAAGAACTTTTCAACAATTTCAAGATAGCCATCACAAAAATTTAGTAAAAAATATGGCGCCCATTGTTGTTTTACATGAAAGGTTAATACTTCAAAAAATTCAACCGATTTGTATTCACTGTCAGGTTAAAACATCTCCAATATCATCGTTACATCATACTCGAATTTGTCTACCGCGCGGACAAATTCACACAGCAGATCTTTTTTCAGTGACACGAAGCGACAACTATGCATTAGAGTGTCACCCCTTATCACAACGCAAACACATGGCTACAGATGGCTCCCTGACAAGATGAATAAAGCGATGTCTATGTTTAAAAGTTATATCGTCAATCAAAAATTTTTCGAGATGTAAATTCTGGTCGAGGAACAGATTGCTCGGACGTTTGTCTATCCAATTATTCCACCATATAATGCGGAACATGAAATACTAACCCGAATCAAACTGTCATTGAAACGGTGGTTTCTCGACAAGAACCTCATGTATTTCGGAGTATGTCGAGGCATGAATTATGAATATTTTCACGTGCATTAGAGCAAACGGGTTTTGTCAATATGTGCGCTGGTGGTAGTTGGAGATTGAGAAAACATAATTAATAGAGGAAAGGTTTGTAGAACACACAATTATGGCTGCTGAGCATACTGATGAGACTAGTAATAACATTGTCTGCTATTATTGGTAATTAAATACATATAATGTTGGTTAAAATTTGTACGCTGATTTTTTTTTAACTTCAAAAACAAATTTATACTCTTCATGCATACATACTATAGTTCATGACGTAATTAAAGCCTTATTTCCGTTTACTGATCAGTGTCTTGATTTTCAGAACTTTTTTCAATGAACAGTTACTGTCTTTTAGTTTCTGCACAGATTCTACTCCCTAAATTCATGGATTCGTTTCAACGTTTTTATGTCAATCGTGACGTTTTATTGTTGGGTTCTTCTCAAAGTATTTCCACTCTACACCTAAAAAGGTCAGTCGCTACAGTTTTATCATCATTCATTTGAAAATCAATGTCCCAATTATGTATGAAAATTTTGGAACGTGGTTTTTACCACTGTTTTCCGCTGACTCTAGAAACTACGGGGAAAATGGCACTTTTTTGTCGGAAATGACACAAATCCGATAAAAAAGTCGACACTGTTTCTCCTGTAATTTCTATAGTTTTGTAAGCTGAGGAAACAACAGTGTGTTATTAACGAAGATATTACATTTTGAAGATGTATTGAATATCTCACAAAGAACCGAAGGTCGCGACTGACTGATTACTTTATTAATGTTTTGAAATTTTTCGCCGCATATATGATTCTAATCTTCCACTGAGTGTAGAATTTGACAAGAGTACAATGAATTACTTTATATTCATACTTCAGAAAACTGTTTGTGTAATCAGTGCCTGATTAGCACTATAGCGGCCGATAATTAAGTGTTTTTCATAAAATATTCATAAATTTCCGCTTGTGTACTATCGGTGGAAATAAAAAGCTGGGACACTAAAAATTTTAAGCATTGTAAATGGTTCTTCAAAAAGCGAATCGAAACGACATTTAAAATCAAAATAATTCAGTTATATTGCAAAATAACCGAATTATTAAAATCAAATGTTCTAAATCGAACATTTGATTTTAATACCAATTAAATGTTTAATTCACCTACTATAAATTGGCACTCAATGTATTGTTACGTTGAATGAGTATTTAAAATCAGCGTGGGTTAAACTCAACAATTTATTTCTCAATAACTCAAATTTCCACGACTGATTACACAGCGATTATGCAGAAAATAAATCCGGCGCAACTTGGCTGTACTCTCGTGGATTGAACTGGCTGAATAATAATCATTCCCGACGGTGACCTCTATTTAAACCTATACGTTCCTCTCGATAGATCGAGAACGCCGCTTCGAGGCTTTTCTGGGTCCCATAATCGAGACTTCCGGTAACCCGCCCCAGACTTGTCTTTTTGGAAAGCCGTCCGGTTACCGTCACCGATGATGATTCACCCATCATATCCGAACATACGAGAAAGCTCTCGACGGCCCATAGGCGTCGTACCGGGGCGGCGTATGGGTTTATTTCGTAACAGTATCTACTATTCATTCAAAAACTGCAGTGTTGTGGTGATATAAATCATAACATGACCATTGTTTTAGACCACATGACCGACAAAAAAAAAAACGCGTGTAGCAGGCCGTTCAAATTATTTTTAAAATAATGATGTTGGCGTTGCAGTTATTTAACGCTTTATTTAACAGTTATTTGATAGCAAAGTCCCTGTATGTATTAGTAAGGTATACGGAGGAAAAGGAGACTGTGACGTCAAAGTAGGGCTCAACGTGACGTATACAATTAATTATGTAAAAATTTCAATCTGAATGCTAAAGTTAATGTTTTATTCATTATCAACCCGAGTGTACCTGAAAATTAGTACTTGATATAACCGGCGAATTTAATTTGATGACGTCACAGCAGGACTGGCGATATTTCAAATAGCGCCCGGTGGGAGTGGACATGCGCAAGGAGGGGCTAAATATACCGCCAAATACCGACGTTGCCAAATTGTGCAGATAATAATAATTAACGGGCGTTTAGTTGAAAAAGTCGTCAAGTTGCCTTGCTTTTTGTCGACGTCTCAACGCAAACCTGTTTTTGATAGACCGTTAAATTACGATCACAATGATCTATCACACTGATATTTAAATATTTCATTTTCAGTCGATAAAAAACTCTGTAAACATAAAAAATGAACGTTGAGTGAAATAAAGCACTTGCACTTTATTTTATGATAATCAACAAGATCTGTTTCAAAAGTAGTTATTACAGTATATGTTCGAACTGTCGAAAAATAGTGGCAGTTCTTTATGTCACTCAAGTTTCATTTTTTCTATGTTTATAATTTTTTTTTTATCAATTAAAAATGAAATATGGAAATATCTAACTATTGTACATCACTGTAATTGCAATTTAACGGCTTACCAGAATCCGTTAAAGATATATACCACACCGTGTATGTGCCACATTTGCAATGTACTAAGTAAATTATAAAAGATTTCCCTTTCAAGCTAAAACAATAGCGTTTGCAGAATTTCAATACATCTATCCGTTTTCACGATATTACGATGCGTATTTTTAGCTCAACACTTGTATAGGAGTTTGAAGTTTTTTTTTACATTTTGATCATATTTCAAACAAGAAAATTGCTTTCACAATAATACTGATTGTACCGTTTGATTTGTTTAAATTTTATATCAGGGAACAAAAGGTATGGAAAACGTAGGGTGTAGTTTAATTATTTTTTGTGTAAATATCACTGTTATGGCCACAAATTGAGGTTAAACTAATTAAACCACGCCTTAGCTGCGCCCCCCATCTTTCTCGTCTTTGGTTTCCACAGCCTCCCTGTATGTCCGATTTAAAAAATTATGCTTACAATTTTTTCAAAATATTGTGCTTTTTATTTTAAAGTATCATGTACAACTTGCCAACGTGGTGTCTCAGTATATTTAACGCCTTTTCCTAGGCAGACCCTATTAATATAAGGACTTTGATTTGACAGTAGCTGTCACGATGTGCCACTACACAGCCATGAATTAAGTTTCACATCTAAAGTTTTAGGTGATTAACTTTGTTTATCACCAAAACTAACATGCATTCATAAAAATATTCTCAAAACGAAAATGATGAAATTTCTTGATACTAAACACTTGTGACTCAAAAACAGACTACTGGTTTTCTGTTTTGTGTTGACGTCATACTTTCGATGTGCTGATAAAAATGTATTATGTACATACAAAAGTCTTAAAATATTGCCTAGGACCATTCCAAATATACAGGGTGTTTCTTTTATTTGATACAACCCCTGTAACTTTTTTATTCTTAAAGATAAACCTGTAGTCCTTTGAGCAAATGTATCATTTTAAAAGATATATGTGATGGCAATCTCACATTTATATTATCATTTCCGGTAGAACCGGAAATGACATCAACTTTATTTTTTTTTTTATGGAACACTGGGTATATTTTGTCATAAATGGAAAGACTGATGATTTTTTTCTAAAAATGAAGGGCAACCAATATTTCTAAAATCAATACTTAAAAAGTTATTAAATAAAATACACGAAAAATTCATATTAATTGATGACAATTTAGCAGCTTGAAAAATTGACACTTATGTCATTTATTGACATAGGTGATCTTAATAGATACAAATTTGGTCAAAGAATTATATGTTTACTTTTTAAAATAAAAAAATTACGGGGGTTGTATCAAATAAAAGAAACACGTGGTATAATACTTCATTTTAGTACAGCAAGTTGACTTTGGAAAACCTATTACTTCATTTTAATATGCATTTGCCGCTTCCTTATTTCACCAAACAATTTCCTACAATATACCAATAACATAAATAAGAATACTGTGTGAGCCTTAGTTATATTCAGTCAGGCATTCCTACAAGAAATGTTAAAAGTGGCCCCTAATTTTCTGCAAGCACGTTCTCATATTTAAGAAAATTAAGTTATAAACTGACATCTACGACAGATGACGAGTAGTCATCAGTCATCATAATGAAGCGGCAAAATTCACGAAATTCCAAAGCCAACTTGTATTGCACTTGCGTATTTTGTAATTTTGAGTTTAATTGAAACATTTTTCAAGAAAGAGTCTACCTCTCAAAATTTGTTCGTTTGTACAAGCTTACAAATAAAATATTTATCAAAAATAGGTGTAAAATTTCTCTGATAAAAACACAGAAAATACCTCTTTCGACGTTGGTATGACAATTTTTTAAATACGGAAATGACAAAATTTTGCATAGAAACAATATTAAGCTGGTTTTACAGTACTTATTAAAACATTAATAAAGCTAAAGTATTTTCGTTCAGCCTGATTTTAAGCACGTCATACA